AATTACCTCAGCTTCACTCTCTATAGATATTGCCTAGCTCACTAAGTGTTTGCAGCATTGAATTGTATCCGCTGTACAAGACAAAAAAAAAGGCCATTCTACCCAACAATTCCAGCGGTTAAACTCCACACTAGCTTCTACCCATCTTGCTTCATCGAATGTGCCCAGTGTATCCAGCCAGACCCATCTATTCTCAAATTTATTTAGCTCCTGTCTAAATATGTCTAGCCAAGAGTGACTCAACTATTCAAATGGTCATGCATTTCATGTTCTTCTCACTCCGGGTGAAGGGATTTCTTCTGTAATCTCAGTATGCTAATCTCTATGAGAAAATGATAAACCAAAATAACCCAAAATGAAGAAATCAGCAACAAAATTTCACTTTACGTAACTTTTAACATGAATCAGAATCAACGTGAATGAGATTTAAACTAACAGGTAAAATACTGTTGGTACAGACTATAAAATACACATGGAATAATGGACACAGCGAAGGTCATTCTTGCGGATCTTACAAGTCATCCATTCTACCTATATGCCACAAATTTCATGCACCCAATTTTTCCAAGCTCAGAACCTCCCGGGGTAGAATTCCAGTCCCTTTCCTTCAAGGATTTAGCAAATTTCCTGCAGGCAGCAGCTTTCTCATGGATAGTTTTGATGGTAATCTTCTACACAACAGGGTACTTCTTTGTGGAGGATTCTCAGCTCCCATCAGTTGTGGTGACATAGATTAACAAGTACTACATCCTTCACACAATGAAGTCTGGGCTCATTGCCACTTAAAAGTGAAAGAAAAAGTAACAGCTTCCTAAATGCAACTTGCATTCATTGAGGAATCGAGCTGTCTAGCTCAGTTCGCTGACCTTCTCCTCTCACCAACTCCACTGTTTCCTCTTGTCTGGCCAACAGCCTCTGCATCTTAACTTCTTTCTTGATGATACTGCTTCCAGGTCAAGGGTTGTTGGTTCACATGGATCAGTAGTTCTTATTATCCAAAAATATTACAACACCTTTATAATCAATTCAAATCCTTAAACAGTCATTTCAAATTTATTTAAGACCAATTACAAATTCTGTAAATATTTTAAAGTAATTACAAATTTTCCTTACTATTGTTACTGCCATGGTCATCATGTCTATTTAATTAATTGGTAAATATCCTGTATTTGTAACCTCTAATTTTGATTACCTTACAAATGGAAAATATTTCGCTGCGTCTCATTTTCTGTCTTTGTTTCAAATTCATGTCATCAAGTAAGTAGGATGCCAGCTGGTTACATTGTCTGGTGGGGTGGGGGTAGAATGCAGCTAGGTAGGGTGCTATGTGGGTGGTATGCCATGGAAAAAAGGCACAGGGACAAGTGCATAGAATGCCAGGGAGCATGATAGAAAGGGGTCTAGGTAAGTGAGACAGTGTTTAAGATAGATCAGTGGAGTGGGCAAAATTGCTCAAGTGGCAGGAGAGAGGGAGGATGTTTCACTTCTGGTTGGGGGGGGCGTTCAGTAGGGTCCAGGTTTGTTGCAATGTTGGTAGGACGGCTGTCGGGTTGGGTCCAACAGTGGCAGTGGGGTATAAGGCGAGAGAAGGTGCAGGCATTGTGCCTAGTGCTGACAGCAGGCTGTTGTGCAGGGATTGGAAGTCAGGTAAAGACTGATGCTGGTGTGGGGCTTAGGCATGGCTCTGGCCAGGAGAAGGGGATCAGTACCTGGCTCTGGATCCAGTGGCGATGGGATCAGGTCAGGTCCAATGGTGAGAACGGAGGACTTGATTGCATTGGGTCCAATGGGAATCTCAAGGGGTTGGGTTGGGTCTGGTAGTGGCAGCAGGTGGTCTTCAGGTACAAATTAGGCCAGGGGTATCAGCTCCTCATGGAGCTGGGTTCCCAGTAGTGGGGTTATTGGTTCTTGTGGGGGTTGGGGTAGAGGGATCAGGCCTGGGGAGGTATTGGATATAGTGACAGTGTCAGATCCCTGAGGTGCTAACAGTCCCAGGGGATGGGCATGTGCGAGGTTAGGGTCTGCTGGGTGTAAATGTTGTGGGAGAGGTGCCTTTGGGGGTGTGTGACATAACCATGGGAACAGTCAAATAGTCACTCGGGAGTTAGACTGGGTATTTAATTGTCTAACTTTTCATTAGTAACTTTATTTAAAATTTTGTCGGAGTCATCTAAAGTCTCCAATTTCTGTGAAGGACTCAGTGTATTCCAGGGGTAAAGGAGTTGCTCTGTGGAATCCTCAACTTTTTGGAAAGTTTGGCTATGATGGTGATTCCACAGGGTCCCCATGCTCAACTCCCATCGACACTGGAATAACAACTGTCTGACCGATCTGGGCCATTGTAATTGAAAGGTACCGTGCTCCATGTGGAACATCAGGCAACAAAGCCCAGAGTTCAGTGTAGCCTGAAAAGAAGGACCAAAAAGGATCATATCCAACTTTTATTTTCCCCACCAATTAGCGCTCAGATCATACAGAGAGAATGGCTACTCTAATATTTGTCCACCCTGTTTATTTATGTACCCTGTCTCCTCAGCAATTAAGATGGTAACTTCAAATGCCCAAGGACAAGTGTAGAGGCATGAAATAGGAACCAAAATATGTTTAAAATCAAAACACTGCGATGCTGGAAATGTGAAATAAAAACAGAAAATGCTGGAGAAACACATCAGGTCTTGCAGCATCTGAAGAGAATGAAGCACAGTTAACACATCAGATCCATTGTGTCTCTTCGCTGAATCCCCACAGTTTGGAAGCAAGCCATTCGGCCCATCCAAATGAGCACCTCACCTAGAACCACTCCCCTGCCCCTGCATTTCCCATGGAAAATCCACTTCACCTGTACATCCCTGGATACTATGGGCAATTTAGCATGACCAATCCATCTAGCCTGCACATACAGCATACAGCACAGAAACAGACCCTTCTGTTCTACCAGTCCATGCCTAACATAATCCCAAACTAAACTAGCCCCACCTGCCTGCCCGGTCCATGTCCCTCCAAATTTTTCCTACTCATGTACTTAGCCAAATATTCTTTTAAATGTTGTAATTATACCCACACATACACCACTTCCTCAGGAAGTTCATTCTACACATGAATCACCCCCTGTGTAACCTGTGGGAGGAAATCTGATTGCCCACAGACACAGGGAGAATGTGCAAACTTCACACAGACAGTCACCTGTGGCTGGAATCGAACCTGGGTCCCTGGTGCTGTGAGGCAGCAGGGCTAACTACTGAGCTACCATGACACTCGTCTTCAGAGCTGGGTCCATGGAATCAGACAGTGCAGAGGAGGCTGATCAAGTACGCACTGACAAAAACTGGTCAAAATCCATACTTGCCCCACTTTCCAACACTTCACTCATAGTTTTGAATTTTATGACATTTTAAGTGCTCTTCCAAGTCCCTTTTAAATGTTGTGAGGTTTTCCGAGTGAAATCCTGTTGTGTTCCCCCAACATTTTCTGGTTTTATTCCAAGATATGCTTTATTTTATTGAAGATACACGAAACATAATTTTCTCTTCTAACAAAATGTCATACTTTTCCAGTAAGTATTAACTCTCAACACAGTGTGTGAAAAATTAAAACTAGCAACAATATTTTATGAAACACTTGATTTCAAAATTTGAGTACTCAAAAGAAATATTTATTCTTTTTGTGAAGAGAATAGGAAGTCAGTGTTTGCTAAACAGGTTTCAACCATTGCATGCATTTACCTCAATTAACAACTATAAAAACATAATATCTGCAATCTAATAATCTAAACTAAAATTAGGATGACAATGGATTAGCACTTGTTATTGACCAACTTTGCACATTCATCATAAATGAAAACTTGTAATTTTTGTAAAATAGCATTGTAACTATACATTGAACAATAATTCTTTCAGATGAAAAAAATACCATAAAATTGTGGAATTAGAGCATAAAGTTATAACCAACAATTCCTGTTCAACCTTTACTACCCCACATTGTTTCCAATATGACTAGTACTGTAAAAACCTGCTGCTAATTTGTGACCAAATAAGTTTCCCCTTTTTTAACCAAAGGGCATTATTCATGAAACTTTCAGCCATGAAATTTCTTATTGTCAATGCTTAGATGTGGAAATGTCAAGCATTCATGCAAACCAAAGGCATGAAAAATTGATAAAATTACAGTCTGTTCATGGAGTAAAGAGGGGGTGAATAAAACAAATTGGTTTTTAGTCTGCATCTGTAAGCATTCTGGTGGTAGTTTTCAACAGGTGAAATCCTCCACTGGTGGACTGCTAAATGGATAAAGAGCATGGTGACCTCAGAGAGAATTTCAATGAGTGGGGTTGAGGTTGCTTGCCATTGTCATTAGCCAATAGCTAGATGTTGTAAAACGGTATTTAAAGGGATGCTTTCAAATATTTAGCAAAACAACTGTGGCTTTTTTAAAACATGAATGGCATTTGCTTATTTTAAATACTGGTGTTTGTTTGCTGCTTAATTTGGCTTTCAATGGTCTTTTTTACAAAACTGCCGCAGTTTCTTAAATAATGTTTCATGCATTTTAAGTAAAACCAGTTAGTGTGAAATCAACTAACAAATAAATAAAAGGACTAAAGATATTACCCTAATTTGAGGGAACCTCTGTTACAGAACAAATTTAATAGTTGCAAAATTATAAGACCTTATGTTCAAAATGTATACAGTTGAACAAGGTACCACAGCAGATCTGATTCTTACAAATTGAAGTGCAGCACTTCGTTTGATTAAGCTTAAAAATCATGGTCGAAGGACGATGTTGTACCTAAACTGAAGCTCACGCCTTACGGGCCTGAAATTACCAGCAGCCTGAGTGCCAGTTGTTCTGGTCGGGGAAGTGGACAGATGTGGTGGTGAGGGACGGTTCAGGGGTGGAGAGAGAAAGCAGGTAGGGATAGCGTGGCTCTCGGGAGTCCAGGATCATGGCTAAGGGCAGCGTCCAAGATTTGAACAAACAGCTTTTTGGTGGTTAAAACCTACCTTCCAGAAGTCCCTCAAGTAGTCGATTAAGGGCCGGTTATTTGTAGAAACTGACCACTGTGGTCAAGAACAATTGAGTTTTGAAAAGCGGGTTTCAGCTCGGACTTACGCCCTCTCTATTTCCAAATGCAAAGGGACAAAAAACTGTCTCAGGGGCGCACTCTAGATATCTCCAGATAAACCTTTACCGACGTGATGGGTGGCGTAAAGGGGTCTCTGGATAAGTGCGCACACACCATTCGTCAGATTAGACGCTTAAGGCATCTTTTTTTCTAGATTTAAACTGACTCGTTTTCACAAACTCAGAGACGTACAAACCACCAGCAAAGAATACACGCATGCAATAATTTTTCTGCTATATCTCTGCACTTATTTTCTCATTTGTGGTCTTATAACCACTGGAACAGAAAACAAAATCCAACTTCTTGGCCTTTACGACAGAAATCGCTGAAACCAGGCCACCTGATGGGCTCACAGGGTTAATTAGGAAATCCCCATCAAGAGCTTGGAGGCCAGTATCGACTGTCAAAATCCCACGTTTCCCTCATTCACCTCTTTCAAGTGCAAAACAACCTGTGTCTGAAATTGTGCCAAAGAATAAAAGGGCACGCTACCACTGTGGGCTTTTACTTGAGCCTATTCAGAGCCGTGGTATTATGAATATAGCAAAATCTCAAATGAAACTTTTAATCTGCACATTGCATTCAGTCCAAAGAAAAAAAAGGCTTCCTTTTTACAATTTCCCCCACAAACCCTTTGTGTGGCTGTGGTCCTATAAAGCTCAGATTTTGCTGTGACCCAGCAAGGGTTTATTGCCACAGAAGGCTCTGCAACTAACCCTTTTGTCCTCAGGCACCTAAAAGCCCCCTTAGCCACAAGTAAGTTATGCAAATAGGATCTGAAAGCCAACTATCAAAATTGCCAACAGAATATTATCACACCAAGTAAACTTTCCAAACCTTGCCCTAATCTGCTTAATTACCCCAGTAACAAGCAGTGTTATTTCCTTTGCCTCTAACTGCCTGGAGTTAAATTCTTTTAGCAATTCAGTATATTTTTCTTTTTTTTGAATCTGATACAAACACTTTTGCACTCTCAACTGAATCACTTACAAAGTGTTACAAAAAAGGAGTGTAAGTGTGCCAATTAATTCAAAATTAGTTGTAAAAGAAATTCTCCAAAGATGTGTTTTAAAAACCTCTATCCCAAAAAGAAAGCAGCGGCGCTTGATGTTTTATGGGCTCAGTTGAGATTTTTCCAATATACTTTCTCCCTTTTTATCTGAATGCGGCATGATTTCATGACTGACTGAAATTGAAAAACACTTAAAAGATTGAGCTCTACCCCTTCAAGTGAGTATTTCTGTTATTTTCACTCCGAGCAGTAACACCTACATTGTATGCAAGAAGACAGAGATCATTCTGTGCTTCGGAAAAGCCATTCATTGACAGACAGCTGGAGAGGCCAAGTGTTCAGCTCCCCCTTCACTCATGGATGGGTTTTTTGCAAAGCCATCCCTGGAGGTTTTCCCTCCACGGATTCTGACAGAGAGAAAGTCTACCCGCTGAATTCACTTGAAATAAAAACAAGCAGATATTTTATCTGGTCCGCACTCCATTTTATTGCCATTTGAAATGGGAGGAAGGTGCCATTGGGGGCCCCTTATTTAGAGTGAGACAACAGAGAGAGATGGACAAAGACAGTAGCCAATTGGTTTTTACAGCCTTAATTTAGTATCAGTCCTGTCTAAGGGACTGGTGAATGAACTGCGCCATTCAAAGGAGATCTTTATAGAGTGGTCAGAGTTCAAAAGGTCTTGACTGAATGTTTGAAACCTTTCTACCCCCGGACTTGACCAATTGAGAGCCAAAGCAAATGCCACAGAAGCGCTGTGGCTGTTCCCTTCATGAAGTCTAAAAAGATGATCGGAAACCTTTAACCTTATCTATCTTTCCTTTTACACTATTATACCTACACCTTCCCCACTATTGTACCTCTTATTTACCAATGATTACTGTTCAGTAAATTATCTTAAGAGCTGCTTTTGTAAGGGATTCTTTCTCCCCATCATGAATTTTGAGCAAGCTAGTTGTTTTTTCACTCGCTCATAATTTCACTTCAAATATTCCACAGAGGAAATAAAATTGTTGGTTTCCCTTCTAATGGCCCAATATTTTGAACACAAGCACCAATTAAACTCCCAAACAGATTATATTTCTATTCAAATCCTATCTTCAGGCAATTACAAAGTACCTCGAGTTATTTCCATTTATAGGCACAAAACTAAGTATGCTTAACTGAAACTTTTCTTTTCATTCAGACTTGCTCAGAAATCATCTATCTTATTCAAACATTTATTTTTAAAATTGTATCTTTTTATTAATCATCTTCTTCCTAAAGAAACCAATGAATCAAGGCATTGGAAAATATATTTTTTAACAGTAATTGACATGTATTTTGAAATAAAATGTTGCCCTTCAGACATGATTTGGAGGTGTCGGTGTTGGACTGGTGTGGACAAAGTCAAAAATCACATGACACCAGGTTACGGTCTAATAGGTTTATTTAAAATCACAAGCTAGTGCACCCCTTCGTCAGGTGCAGTGCAGGAGCAGCACTTCAAAAGTTTGTGATTTCAAATAAACCTATTCAACTATAACCTGGTGTCGTGTGATTTTTGACTTTGTCCTACAGATTGTGGAGTCTTTACAATCTGAATGGTATAGCACAGTAAAGTTTCATTGTCCTTCTGGACTATAAGACTCAGAGAGAGATGACCAGTGGTGGTTTAACCTGAAGGTTGTCATGCCTCAGGCAAGGAGAGAGATTCAGAAAGAGAGCCCTTCATGGTACCCTCATCCAGAGTGAGAATGATGTTCATACTGTTGGTAGTACTCTGCATTGCAAGCCAGCTGTCCTGCCAACTGAGCTAATCGACACCCCAGTGTTATTAACTCATTAACACATATCAAAGCAGACATCTGTCTTTGACTCGAGTTTGACATTAACTGCCTCTGTCTCCTGAGAAATGTAATGCAGAGACCTGTCCAGAAACTGAGTGCCATGTACATTGTGTCATTGCCAAAGCCAATTGGTTATGTGTCTTCTAAAGTTCCATTTTCTGGCGATAAGCCATTGGAAAGTAAGTGCTGTCTAATTTGAAACAAGTGCTGATCAGAGCTATTTTAATCATATTCACTTTCATGTGCACAACTATGCAGTCCAAAACATGATCAAGCACAAATGCTGAAATAACATACAAACAAGATGTTTACAAATAATGATTTCCTTTTTGAGTTGATTTTGAACTTTGTGCACAGGAAGCTACCATTTAGGAAATGTTTGAATGCAGTACATAATAAGTTTAAAGGGGTGTGCTCTGAAAGCTTGTGATTTTAAATAAACCTATTGGACCGTAACCTGGTGTCATGTGATTTTTGACTTTGTCCACACCAGTCCAACACCGACACCTCCAAATCATGTCTGAAGGGCAACATTTTATTTCAAAATACATGTCAATTACTGTTAAAAAAATACATTTTCCAATGCCTTGATTCATTGGTTTCTTTAGTCATGTCTTGAACACAATGAAAATGTGAGACTGGAGCCAATAGCACTTGGATAAGAAACATATTAAAAACATGGTGAAATGAAAAACATATATTGTTGTAAATACTACCACATTTATAAAGTTTATTCAGGTGGCATAGTGATGATATCACTGGTCTAGTAATCCAGAACCCCAGAGTAATGTTCTTTGGGCCTGGATTCAAATCTCACTGTAGCAGGTGGTGAAATTTGAATTTAATAAAAAGTGAGCCTGTTTATAATAGACTTCGATTGTTATAAAAATTTATCTGGCTCACTAATGTCCTACAGAGAAAAAAAATCTGTCGTCTTTATTTGGGTCTGGCCTATAGGTGACTCCAGATCCACAAATGTGGCTAACGCTTAACTGCCCTCTGTGTAATTAGGGGTGGGAACCAAATGCTGGCCTCACCAGTGATACCCAGAGCCTGTGAACAAATAAAATTAGAATTAGAGTTAGGTTTTATTGTCATGTGTACTCAGGTGCAAGGATACAGGAGTACAGTGAAAAGTGTACATAGTTGCCATTCTGCAGTGCCATCTTAGGTAGAAAACTACAAAATCTTAGGTATAAAGTTGAAAAATAAAAAAATAAAGTTAGAAGTTCAACATTACAGACTTTCTTAGGTGCTTAGCCATGGCGTGGGATCCAGGCTCTTCCACCCCACTCTCAGACCATCACCAGCACAAAGCAATCAGCCAGCCTCGAGTCCCTTCACCACGCCACTGCCGCAGAACCGTATAACCATTCTTCAATGCCAGCTTGCCTCTACCAATGATGCCACAGCCATGAGTCTGCAATGGGCCAATCTTGGCAATGCAGCCACCGCTAAACCTGCTGGGTCCTGCACTGGGCACTGAGCCCAAACTCACCTCCCTGAACTATCGCCGGGAACACAATCTCACCTTCCTCTGCCATCGCCAGGAACACAATCTCACCTCCTTATGCTATCGTTGGGAACACAATCTCACCTCCCTCTGCCATCGCCAGGAACACAATCTCACCTCCCTCTGTCATCGCCGGGAACACAATCTCACCTCCCTCTGCCATTGCTGGGAACATAATCTCACCTCTCTCTGTCATCGCCAGGAACACAATCTCACCTCCCTGCACCATAGCCAGGAACACAATCTCACCTCACTGCACCATCGCTAGGAACACAATCTCACCTCCCTCTGCCATCGGCAGGAACACAATCTCACCTCCCTCTGCCATCGCCAGGAACACAATCTCACCTCCTTCTGCCATCGCCGGGAACACAATCTCACCTCCCTCTGCCATTGCCGGGAGCACAAACGTGACTCCCTCTGCTGCCAATGCTGGGAACAAACTTTGCTCCCAACATGCTGGGCACTTTGATGCCATCTGAGCTCTCCACAGAAGGTAAGTAAGGTTAACATTTTTTTTAAAATGCAGAGAAAGAAGAAAAAAATTTAGAAGCGTATAGAGTAGACGAACTGTGGACTCAGGAGGCCGCACCTTGCACTGCTACTCCACTGACATCTTGACCGGAAGCATCTATTAGATGGTTAGCTTTCCTTTTCCTCCTTCAATGTAATTCCTAGCCCCATTAAGGGTGGGGA